CTCAACTAGCTTCACTGGCACCAAATCGAAGCCTACTGTGCCAACTCATCTTCCACGAGTGAAACGATGAAACTCCAGAGCAAAGGATCTAACTTGCGTCACGATGCCTCCTTACTGCAGAGCTGGACTTTGAAGCCCTGACTGACTGAGTTAGTCTAAAGTCAGAACCTTGGACGTGCTGCTCACACACACTCAGATGAGCTGTGCATCATAAGCTTTAGTATGCAGACACCTGAGCCGACTGTACAGTACTTACGTAATCCCCTAAGTTAATTTGCTCAGTACCAGTTATCGGTCAACTCAGAAACGATACATCAGTAATGTTACGTAACCAAATGTCCTTCAGCATGCTGAGAACCCCATTAACATCTAACCGGCAGCTTCAGCCCTGTATGATTTATCTCCCCTACCACAGTGTATATCACCTATAAAATAGTCCTAGTCATAAGCATATTTCAAATCCCAAACATTTTGGAAGATATTTCGTACTATAAATACAGCGGAAGAAATAATGGCATGTGTGATGGCATTTACCCGCTCTAGTAAATTCGGAAGTAATAAGATCTTTCTGTGTTACTTTGCTTTGTCCTAATTGGCTGCTTCCAATACATGTTGCCACAGATGCACTACTTTAAATACATTTCCCAGTGTAAACCCCATCATGGGTTTCCTTGTGACTTTCTACTTCATTGAGTTGGAACATAATTCAGAATGTCATTGTGCCTCAGGTTTATTAAAGATAGGACTTAATTTTTATATAATATAGTCTTTTCTGACAAACAGACTGCTTCACAGAGCTGTGTGTAGTTTCATGAGCCAGGCACAATTGCTAGGAACCATACAAGGTGGATTAAATTCATTAGATGCATTATGTCTGATTTGATATTACAGAGAATCAACAAACACATGACTGGCTAGGAGTTGATCTAACTTACCTCCAGGCTGCATTGTCACATAATAAATGCTTTATAATATTTTTATTCATTGGCCTAGAAATTGTATTATGAGTTCTAAATAGCTTTAATGGTTTTGTTATTCTTTTCAACTAAAACCACCTATGTCCTAAACTTCAGCTGTCATTAGGGGTCTTGATTTAAAGCAGATTCTGTTTCAGTGGATGCAGAGTGAGTCCTGAGGTTGTGCATTACTTACAAATTCCTAAAGCACACACTGAGTTTGGAGGCAGGTATTGTATATCACTTTATATTGGGGCTCATTTTTTTCTATAGCAGATAAGGTTTGATGTTAATTTACCTAATGTGAATCCTATACATAATATACAATAACTGCATGCTTAATTAATCATTTATTGGAAATTTTACTTGTTGGAGCTTTTTCAAAGACAAGTGAAAAATGATTTATATCAGAAGAAAAAGCATAAAAATTTAGGGGATTCTATAGTCAATAATTGAAATCTATACATTTCATTTATTTCTACAAAACTGTTTCTTGAATTATAAAAGTTAACACATGTAACTGTATATTATATTAGGAAGTTTTAATTTTTATCTATTAATTTACTCGTGTGCGTGTGTGTGTGTGTGTGTGAGTGTGTGTGTGCTCATGTACACTGTTATGCACAAATGGACATCAGAGGACAGCTTGTGTGAGTGGGTTATCTCTTTCTACCATTTAGGTCCTAGGGAGCTTAGGTCTTCTCACTTGGCAACAAGGTCTTTATCCCTGAGTAATCTTGCCAGCTCAGTGCTTTATACTCATATTATTTTTTATATATAATATCAGATCTCCTTACCTGGTTAATGAATATATTCTATTTTCTTAATGTCTTATTCAGTTACAAACATTTTCCAGACATCTTGCAAACAGTGAAGACCATGCATTTTCTTCTATCAGAGCAACACTTGAACTGAACCACAAAACTAGAATATCAGAACAGTTAGAACAGCAAGAGTGGTAACTTCCCTCACTGAGCCCTCGAGACAGTCTGCATATTTGTGAGTTTGAACACTTGGTACCGAGCTAATAGTGCTGACTTGGAAGACAGCACCTCATTGCAGGAAGTTGTCACTGGTTGTGGGCCTTGGGCTAGATAACCCAGCACTACTTCCTCTCTGCTAACCACTTCCTGAGTATAGATACAATGACCAGCTGCCTGCTCCTGCTTCTATGCCTTCCCTACCATCATGGCTGTCTTCCTTCAGACTGTGAGTCAAAACAGGCCCTTCCTCTCCTAAGTTGTTTCTAGTCAGGGATTTGGTCTCAGCAACTAAAACGCTCAGTCTCCTCAGCATTTCATTTACAAATTTAGTGCACTCACAGGGAATCAGAGATGTGGACCTTTAAAACCCTCATGTTGTTTGCAAAGAAGCTGTAGCAACAGCATCAGTAAAAGGAATTTGTCCCATGAGCTTGCTCAGAAATCCACTGTACAGATTAGGAGACCTGGTACTCTCCTCTGGTACTACAGCTCATGAAATGAAGTAACCCACTAGATGTCTTCCCAAAGGTTCAGGAGCAATGGCTTACACTGAATAAAATGAGAAAGTTGACTGGTGAAATGTAATAAGCATTCCAAGTCACGAGACACCAGATTAAGATATCTTTGTGTGAGTACACTTTATGTAAGTAGTGACATTATGGATGCTGTATTTACACAAGGAAGCCCAGAACTTCAATGTTTGCACACATATCGGCTATAGTTGCCATTTAATATTGCTATTTTTCTTTTTGAATGTCAGATGAGTAAATCATAGGAATAAAACACTAAGCTTGCTTAAGATGAAAGGCTGCATTTATGACTTTGATAGTTTGTTATCATATATTGAGGTGCAACAGGCAAGCAAATTATTCAACCAATTAATTCTATTCATACACAGCTCTTACTTAAAGTGCCACCACAAGGATCTTTACAGAATTAGAGATGTAGTAAAACATATTGTGTTCTGATAAGTATCTGAAATATGTCAGTATGATGAGCTTTCTGCTATTCATGAACTATACCCACAACATTTTCAAAAACTTGAGTGCATCATTTATAACAAAAACACTGTAGTCTTTGTTTTCCTTGATTCCATTTAAATCCTTAAAATGCTTCATTTTCTTAAGTCATTTATTTAATTGCAAAGATGAAAGTTGGAGACAGAAAAACGGTCTTAAATCATTTTAGGTGGACTTCAGAAAGACAATCTGTCCATTACTACAGGTATACGTTCTATACCAGTGATTTCTTTTGCCCTACAATTCCTGAGAGTATCACTCATTTGGTCAAAAAGAATGCTGTCATTTGAAATCTTTTGCATATCAGGGAGTTATTTTCTGCAGTAAAATCCCAAAGTGTGATGTAAAATTGTAGCTAGATGAGTAAGTACTACATCCTAGAAGTTTTCATCATTTTGGCCCAATTATGAATTGTGTCTAAATCCCGTAAGGAGTGGAAACACGTGTTTCCTCTATTTCACCAGTGTCCATTCTGGTCACTTGTTATCAAACCAGCAGCTTTCCCTGAAGCAGGCAAGAAGCAGCTGCTACTTAGTAGCAAGGCTGATGATATAAGGACAAAAAGCTCTGTGTCTGGTGAAGGACAGAGTGCCATGGCTGTCAGGACCCCTGGGGGCGGGGTCATCCGCTGGACCTTCAGGCCCTAATCCCAATGCCTTTCTAACTGGCGTAAATGGGCGTGCTTGTTTTCCACTTTTGTTATTAAAATAGAAGTGGAAATTTGCTTTCCCCAGCCTATCAGCATCTCTTGCCTGACCTTGAGGTGGTGCAGCTGCTTCGGTGTTTAAAAATGGACCTTCAAGCTGGCTTTAGTTTCTGTTGCTCTGCCTGCAAGCGTCCTCCCACTGAGCTGTTTATCACAAGCTCGTTACCACTTCTGTTGTTGTTAGCCTGGACAGTTGATCTTGCTTTTCAAAGCCCTAACCTGCAGGTCCTTGTACATGTAGTCCCCAGAGTGCAGGGACTGATGAACCCCTCCTCAAGCAAAATGCACCCCAACTCCAGGTATCTCAGTAGTTTCTTCATCTTCTGATCCCTGGCAACGGGACTGGGGATACCCATGCCTAGCAAATCCTGTGCTTCGGGGACAGGGCAGCGGAGTAGTGGGAATAGGGTGGCTTAGTGAGTTAGGAAAAAAGTTTGGCGGCTTGCTTTCATGGGTGTGCGATCCTTTCTAATCCCGCTTAACCCAGGACTCGCTGCCAGAGTCACGGGCATTATCCCAACAGCATAACTCTTTATTCTCATACCTTCAAGCCTTTTGAAGACCAAACCCTAAACTTTTTCCAAAACAGGCCTACTAGGAACTTCAGCTTCTGGGAATGGCAATTGCTCCTAACTATCCTGCCTGTGGAGCAGGCAAGGAGATCACCTTAGTGGCTTTGTTTAGTTTCTTGGCACTGCCCCACTTCAATTCAAGCTCCCTGCTTTCAGAAGTCAGGTCTTAGAACTGTGCCAGGCTCATCCTGGCCACGGAGCAAAGGTTTTAGTCATAGGTGTAGCATCACCAAAGATGTCCCATTGATTCCTAAATGTAGCTGAAGCTAGGGAACCCTTGCCATATTCGACCACCTGCGGAGACTGGGTGCAGACTGGAGCTGATGGGTTAGATGTCAGAACATGAGCGAGCGAGCGTTAGGGATGCTCACAGAACGCTGACTCAACTAAGCCAAGTACCTATTCAGGATGACACAGCAAAGCCTCGGGCCATGGCTAACAAGAACTGGAGCTTCCTCCAGCCTGAACAGCTCCTTAGCCAAGACCTGGTCAGTCTGAGCTGGAAGGAAACAAACCTTGGGCAGGAGCTCACATCAAAACATCCAAGTTAGCAGCCAAAGGGAGGTGGTTCTTAAGTGAATTACAGTCAGGATGACCAGTGGCCTACCCAGAAAACGGCAGGTGTCCGCCCAACTAGTGGCAGATCCTCAACTCCCAGAGGCTTGTCTGGGCCCCTACCTTCCCTGGAACTAAATGCATGCGACCTGACCCGGCAGGGGCGGGCCGGGGCACGGGCCGGGCGGGTGGCGCAGGTGGGCGTGCCAGCCAGGCAGGGAGGCTGGACCTATAAAACACTCTCTGTTCCGGAGGCGGAGCGGCCGGGTGCAGGCTGTGCTGGTGGGCGCGGTGGCCCGCAGCTTTTGGCTCGCAGAGTGACTGTGCGGAGGGGCCACTGTCCAAGGATCGGGCTACTGAGGGGTGCCTGCCTCGGTTTACCCCTCAGCATCCGGTGAAATCCCTGCAGGTGAGCGGCCAGAGGAGGCGGGAGTGGGCAGGGTCGCTTCCCAGCTGTGCTACTTTCAGCTGGTTGGCGGTAGTTGGCGTCTCAGCTTCCAGGGCTTTGTCAACTTGAGTTACCAAGGCTGGTACCTCCCTCTAGAAGGGCAGTGCCCGGGCTAGTTCTCTCTGGCGATGCTGGGACTCTGGGGAGCCTTTGCACTTCTTGCATGCTTTTGCAAACTTCTCTCACTGTTTCCCCCCACAGCGCCTAAGGGGAAAACCGTTCTGCTCCGCGAGGGAAACAGAGCCGTTGATCATGGTTGCAACGGGCAGTCTGAGCAGTAAGAACCCGGCCAGCATTTCAGAGTTGTTGGACGGTGGCTATCATCCTGGGAGTCTGCTAAGTGGTGAGTCGCCTGGCTGCTCACGTTTCTCCTAGCCAAAAGTCGCAGCCCCTCTCTAGATAGTGTAAGCGTCCTGCCTGAGCCCGCGAGACCTCATTCCCTCCTAGACAGAGAAGACTGTGAAATCCATCTGAGATGTCTCTAACTCGGCTCTGCCGGTTTGCCATCCATTCCCTCTTTTCCCGGTCCCCAGGGAATCATCTTTCAGTGTTTGGTTACAATGTTAGTTTTGCTTCTAGTGTGTTAGATAATAAAGCAATATGTGTTCCTCTGAATTCGGTTTGTTTTCCCACAGCTTAATACTTTAAACTAGACCCTTCCCTATTCATGTGTTTTTTTCACAACTAAGTAAGATTCTATTGCAAAATGAATGCACTATTCCATTCTCGATGTCAGAGGAACAGTTTGGTAGCCTGGCCCCATGCGAATCATCATTTGCAACTTTGAGTAGCAGTTTCTAATTTAATGGGCTACTCTACTACCGAAGAGTGGTGTGGACATAAATTTTAACTGCTTAAGCTCTTTGGATCATCCTCATTTGTAAGAAAAATTAAGGTAACCCTGTAGAACAAAACTAAAATTGTCTGCCATCAGTGTAGCTAAAATATAGGTAAAATGCAGCTATGATTTGGAATATATTAGTTCAAAAAAAAAAACAGTGCCCAAAGTGAACGAATGCATGAATCAGAAAGCAGGGAGAGGTGAAGGAGGTTTGAGGTCACTGTGTGGTGTGGCAACCTGCCAAGTGGTAGGATTAATTCGGAAGGTAGGTGACCAAATGCAGAGCTATCTTTTTCTCTCTGAGCAAACCTAACTTTGTTTTCCTGGGTCTGTTTTGTTTTGCCCAGCTAAGAAAAACCTAACCCAGCCCAGTTATAAATAACCTCGTGAACCTCAAAGGTCCTCTCCTCTGTGAGCAAACTGTAATCAAATAACTCGATGCTAAAATGGGACCTTCAGGCCATTCTAGCAAAGACTTTTAAAGAAACATAAAAAGTTGGTAGACCTTTGGTACTGTGATGGACTTTATTTGCAAGCACTTGCAATCATTGTATGTTTTAATACATACACACCAACAGTCCCTTTGCTAAGCAAAACTAATGATTCTTATTCCAGATGTTCTGCCTGTTCTCTGTGAAAACACTAAAATAAACTAGAAAAGCCCTACAACAAGCAAGGAAATAATTAGTAATCTTGGATGACCATGGATAGATTTTTGCTTCATAATCCTCAAGACTATGAGCAGAGACATAGAAAGTTAACGAAATGTTGTTTTAACCTAGTCACTAGCATATTGGAGTCTTGAGTAAATAAGCTTTCAGTCTTGAAAGGTTAAATGACTTGTTTTACTGTCTATTAGTTAACAGCAAACTGAGGTATGCTAACTCAAAATGAGGTGTGCTAACTCTCAAAGCTGTATCCAAAGCAGCTAGATAATACAGAAGCTAGAAGTGGTCAGGCTCTACTATGCCAGGAAGACATTATTTCTCTCTCCTCTAAAATGTTCATTATTTCTTTCAGATTTTGACTACTGGGATTACGTTGTCCCTGAGCCCAACCTCAACGAGGTGGTATTTGAAGAGACGACGTGCCAGAATTTGGTTAAGATGTTGGAAAACTGTCTATCCAAATCAAAGCAAACCAAGCTTGGTTGCTCCAAGGTCTTGGTCCCTGAGAAACTGACCCAGAGAATTGCTCAAGATGTCCTGCGACTCTCCTCTACAGAGCCCTGTGGCCTTCGGGGCTGTGTTATGCACGTGAACTTGGAAATTGAAAATGTATGTAAAAAGCTGGATAGGATTGTGTGTGATGCTAGTGTGGTGCCAACTTTTGAGCTGACACTCGTGTTTAAGCAGGAGAACTGTTCATGGACGAGCCTCAGGGACTTCTTCTTTAGCAGAGGTCGCTTCTCGTCGGGCCTTCGGCGAACTCTGATCCTCAGCTCAGGATTTCGACTTGTTAAGAAAAAACTGTACTCTCTGATTGGGACGACGGTCATTGAAGAGTGCTGAGGAGAAACACACGTAAAGTCCCCTAATGAGTGGATAATAAAAGTCTGAAGCTGTCCAGTCAGCCGTTTGTAGTTTGCCTGCCTGCCTCCACCAGCAACTCCCAGATTTAGGCAATCTTCCTTCTATATTTCCCACCCATACCAACCTTTTCCAAAGGCTGTCTTTCTCTCTCTCTCTCTCTCTCTCTCTCTCTCTCTCTCTCTCTCTGGCAGCATCTTACCAGATAATGTCCAACCCATCAAAACATACAGAGGTCCATACCACCAGCTTCCTACTCGAATTTAAAGAGTTCTTACACAAGAGGGTACAGTTAAATCAATGAGCTTAATTAAAACATCACCTTACATAAGAAATACACAGCACAGTAACAAGAGCATGACCTCTCTGCTTAGCGTTCTCCTATGCCCATGCCCAAGAGACAGAGCTTACATTTTATTTAATGATTACAGGGTTACTTTCAATGTCTTGGTAGAATCATGTCAACTCAGTTTTCCTAGTTCTCAACTATTGAATGTTGTCGGATTTTTTTTCATATCGTCTTTAATTGGAGAAGTAGGAATGACATGGTGGCTTTTTTTGGCATGTAGTTGAGTGGACTGAGCAAATAGTGATTGTCCCTCTATGAAGATGAAGACAGGTAAGATGAGATCCTGTCCTGTTTGGATGCACTTGATAGCATTGCTACTTTGCGCCATGAAGATGCTCAGTCCCAGTGAAGCATCTCTGAGCATCTGTTTAGCTCATCTCTGGCCTCTTCAGAGTGTTTATATTTGTCAGTGTGTTTATATTTGCAGAACCTGGTTTGACTTTGAGATGTTGTTGCTACTACACACTAGATACCAAAATCCTATAACTTAAGACAGACAATGCTCACATCCAGCCTCTGCTCACCATACATACCTACCCCTAGAAAACAATAAATGCTTCATTCAACTGGTTTTTGCCTTATTCTGAGTAACTACATGAGTTTCTGCTTTTTATGGCCATGAGGTAATTTACCCTCCACATAACTCTTCTCTATTCAGCAAGGTCTTTTCGTCTTTGGGTCATGGAAAGGAGTGTTTTCAGGTCTCCTGCCCAAGCCTTTAGTACAAGTTCATGCACCTCAGGCACTGGCATGGCTGGGGCAGATGTCTTTACCCTGACCTTATACATCACTGCTCTAGTGAGCAGGTGTTCTAGCAAACTGTGCACTTTGAAGCTTGGAAAGGTACCCCAAAGCCAGGGTACCTTCACAGGACTGGGCCAGTAGGTAAATACCTATTGTTTTGTAGGTCTGCTGGTGTTCAGGGTTCTGAAGGTCACCGTGTTTCTGTAGCTGTTTTAAGACATCCCCTGGGAGGATACTGAGGCTTCTCAGGCATGCACATTGATCCTGTTCGCACTAGCAGTTGTGACTGGTTCTCTTGCCTATTTCTATTACAAAATGATGAGGACTTAAGGGGACTCTTACAATGATATTCCTGTTTTAAAAAATTAAAGTCTGTCTATTTTTTAATAATAAAACATTATACATTTTTAATGCTCTTGCCCTCTTTGTTTTTTTCTGTATTTGTGCCATGATCACCTTAAAATAGATTTGACAGTATGTGGAGGAAGATAACAAATTATTCCTTTTTGAAAAAGCTATTTTGCCCCCTCAATTATATTATTCCAATTACACTTATTCCGTGTACTTACATACCAATAAAGAGTGATTTGATTCAGAAACTTCCAACTTTCTCATAATATTTTCAATAGGAACACAATAATGATTTGAGTGCCATTGTCGAGTGCCTTCTTCAAAACAAATCCCAAGACTCATTATGTGAAGACATTTTGTATAGCTTTCTGAATAGCCAAACGCATGCATGCACCCACATATAATCAGTGTACATTCTCATTTTTACTAATAAATTATACTAAATGACAATTCTTCTGAATTATCCTTCAATTAGAATTTAAATTTTTCACAGACCTTTTGTGTCTCTTCCAATTAAGGCTCATCATCTCAGAATTCTTATAATATGACCTCAAACATCTGGAAGATAATGATATTACACACACTGAACATTGTGTAGAAAGAGTCAGGAACATTTGCTTTGAAAACAGATTAGAAAGATGTATTCTTTGTTTATGCTTGGGATGAGAACCACAGCCTCAAGCACCCCAAACACATACCCTAGTACTCACATACATGGAGCTGGACTCCAAAAGCAAATGTTTAGAATGGTTTCTGGTTAAGTAGGAAACATGAGGCAACAATTGTCAGTATTTGTGATGCATTTATAGCAGGGATCTTCTCTGATTTTAAAACCAGTCTGTGGACCAGTGAGATGACACAGTGGGTAAAGCTGCTTGCCACCAAGCCTGACTGGCTAAATCTCATCTCTTAGACCCAGATGGTAGAAGGAGAATCCAACTCCTGCAAGTTATCTCTGACCTCATGCCCACACACACACACACATACACACACACACACACACACACACACACACACACACCTATAATTTTTTATTTATTTAGGAGATTAAACCAGTAGGGGGATCGTTTGTGTGCACATGTGAAGGCTGTTATATGCATTTCTCTACTACATAGGTTTAAACAAATGATGACAATAATATTGAAATCCAGTACACATTGGCAGCAGCTAAGAAGGAAAGGGTGCATGTGACCTTTGAGGAAGAAGGGGCATAACAGTGTCTCGCAGAGTCCTGGACCACTGCTCACACCCAGTCATTGGTTACAGACTCAAAACAGTTTGCCAAAAGTTCTTTAAAAGTAATAAGAAAAGCTCAGATGGCCAAAAGGAAAATAAGTGGATACAAAAAGGAACTCACATGGCTGGTAAATGTATAAAAAGTTACTTAACTTTAATAATCAGAGAGATGCAAGTTAAAAGCATTAAAATGAAATCAGTGGATACTTATGCATATTAGGTAACAATTGATAAATTGATGAAGTCAGAGCAAAAACAAATCTCACTTCATCCCATGGGAACTGCACCTCAGTAATCAGTTATTGTCATGGAAAGTTAATGATAACTGTATTTAATGAACCAGCCATGCTATATTTCATTACAAGTGTTCTTTGAACCTTTTCTCTTATTATACATATAAAGAAATCATGAAATTGTAGCCTCTGTCCCATTTTCTAATTGCCATCCCAATTGCTCACCCTTAGTTTTAAAACTTGGAAATTATGTAAACTCTAGTTCACTGTAAATACCTGCATTTTAAATAAAACCATTACATCATTCTGCTAAGTGTTTCCAATGGGATGTCAATGGTGTAGTAATGTGACACCGGAATCTATTTAGAAAACGCTAGTGTAGGCTCTTCCATGGAAGGATATTGTGTACAGTGTTATTTCTTCTCTGTTGCTTTATCTTTCCAACCTTTACTTTTTTATACTGAATTTTACTTTAACGTAGTGGTTTTAAATGTTAAGGTTTTTCTTAGTGTTTTTCTCTAGGGGAAAAAAACACTAAAATTATAATGTGTAATTAAAATGGGTTCAATAGCATTTACAATAACAGGTTTTGGTGGTTGAGTTCACTTACAAATAATAAATTGTCTACAGTGATCAAAGACAATAAATGTGCCCTGAAGTTTTATAGAAAACATTCGTGATGAAGTGCTGGGCTACTTCTTGTTGAGACCACCATTTCCTTAGTTGTAAACAAACACTGGATTCTGCTATAGATTCAAGGCTAGGCTTCACTATGTTTTGTTTCCATAGCTTTGAGGAAGTCTATTCCCATCAACAAGATGGCCATGGAGAAGACTGCCTAAATACTATTCAGTCTTTGAGCCACTTTCAGATGCATGGTACTTTCAGTGATCAGCATGCACATTATTCAAACAGATTTCAGTGCTGCTTAAGGCAAAGGACAGAACCATCCAGCTAACAGAATTTCTTACTTATATCTACATATTTGTGAGAGTTGCCATAGCAACATACCAATAGTGAGGGCATGAGATGTAAAATCTAGTCTCTTCTCAGAGCTGAAGGCTACAAATACAAGATCCAGGTGCTGGCAAAGTGGTGTCTTTCCAGGGCTCCTTCCTTGGTATATAGATGGCCCTCTTGTCATTACGTCTCCCTCTATTTGTATATCTGTGTCCTAATCCTTCCTTCTTCTTACAGTTTTGGTTGTGAACCTAGCCTTTAACAGTTGAGCCGTCTCTCTAACCCACTTTCCTTCATCTGAAAACACCAGTCTTGATCGATTACAGCCTATGCAGGGGCACTATTTTAACCTATTTGCCTCTTTAAAAGCCCCATCTCTGGGCTGCAGTCAGTCCCCTGGTTAATTCCCAGACTAATGCCCTCTTGCAGTGTATACAAATCTATTCTTCCTACTCTCTCCAAAAGGCTGTATTCATTCTCTGCCTGCCAACCCCTCATCTGCTGCCACACCAGTGGATACTAGCCCATTGCAGTTATGTATGTATAGTGTGAGCCCTACCTCAGCCACTAAAAAAATAATGTGCAATGAGATCCACTAAAACACTATAAATAAAATGAAATTATTTTAAAATGAGATTAAGTCATTGTAAATACTGACTGTTCTTGGAGGACCTGGATTGGATTCCTAGCACCTACATGACAGCTCACAACTTCTTGTAACTATAGTTAGGCTTCCAGTCAGATTGCCTATCACCCAGGAAACAAAATTACAACAAATGCCAGTGACGGTCTGAGGAAAGGGGAATGTAAATGTGTGTACTCCATGGAGATCAATATGAAAGTTTCTCAAAAAGATAGTAAAAGTCAGCCGGGCGGTGGTGGCACACGCCTTTAATCCCAGCACTCCGGAGGCAGAGGCAGGCGGATCTCTGTGAGTTCGAGGCCGGGCTGGACCGACAGCCTCCAAAACAATACAGAGAAACCCTGTCTCATAAAATCAAAAAAGAAAAAGAAAAAAAAAGATAGTAAAAGTCGAACTATCATATGACCCAACTTACCAATCCTAGGTATGTACCTGAAGGACCCTAAATCCATATTTCATAGAGATACTCCACCTTCCATAGTCACTAAATCCATATATCATGGAGATACTCCACCTTCCATAGTCACTAAATCCATATTTCATAGAGATACTCCACCTTCCATATTCACGAAATCCATATATCATGGAGATACTCCACCTTCCATAGTCACTGAATCCATATATCATGGAGATACTCCACCTTCCATAGTCACTAAATCCATATATCAGAGATACTCCACCTTCCATAGTCACTGCTGCACCATTCACAACATCCTGGAAATGGAGCCAGCCTGCATGTTTATTGATAGATGAAGGGGCAATGGAATTTTCTGAAACCACAAAGAAAACAAAACGAAATCACGACACTTGCAGGTAAACAGATGCAAATGGAAATAAAATAAGCCAGATGTGGTCCAGGGGGATGGTTCTGTGGATAAAGGTGCTTGCTGTGGATCCTGACAACCTGAGCTCCATCAAGTTCAAGCCTCAGACGCCACACATGGCAGGAGAGAACTGACTTCCCTTAACTGTCCTCTTACCTCCCTAAGTTACTATGGTACTGCACATATACAAACACAAGAAGGGAAGGAAGACAGAGAGAGAGAGAGAGAGAGAGAGAGAGAGAGAGAGAGAGAGAGAGAGAGAGAGAGAGAGAGAGAGAGAGAGAGAGAGAGAGAGAGAGAGAGAGAGAGAGAGAGAGAGAGAGAGAGAGAGAGAGAGAAGGGAGGGAGGGAGGGAGGAGAAAGAAAGAGGGACCCTATAAAAAGAAAAAAAACAAATTCAGACAAATACTGCGTATTATCTCAGATGCAGAGCATAGATTTGGTATTACATATAGGAAGAGCTTTTGGGGAAGGGGTAACATAAGTCATGTGACACAGCTGTCTAAAATACAGAAATCAGCCAGAGGAGGTAGTGTGTACATGAAATAACTGGGGAGGACAGTGGATGAGGACTATGATGAAATACGCAAGCTGTCTTAGTTAAGGTTTCATTGCTGTGAAGAGACACCAGGAACATGCAGCTCTTACAAAGGAAAACACTTTATGGGTGGGCTTACAATTTCAGAGGTTTAGTCCACTGTCGTCACGGTGGGATATGGGGACAAACAGGGGCTGGAGGAGCTGAGAGTCCTACGTCTGGATTCAAGGCAACTGGAAGTGAACTGAATGTCACACTGAGCCTGATCAAAATAAACTCAAAGCCCACCCCCACAGTGACACACTTCTTCCAACAAGGCCACACCTACTCCATCAAAGCCACACCTCCTAATAGTGCTTGTGGGGGCCAATTACATTCAAATACCAAACATGCCATAATGTTACAGTCACATAGTGTCATCTCAAGTATGTCCATCTCAGCATATAGGAAATAGAGTGAGGACATTGCCCCGAGTTCCAAACCAGGCTGGGTTACATAGTGAGAGCCAAGAAAGCCGAGAAAGAAAGAAGAAGCAGGGGAGGAGAAGGGAAAGAGAAGAAATGAAAGAAAAAGGCAGTGCTATAATAAACATTACTTTGCATGCTGTCATAAAAACTAAACTGTCAGATTGCCAGTGAAAGGGCTTTGCTGGGGTCGCATTATGTGCAGTGAGTGGGGAGTATGAACAGAAAATTCTGACCTGACTCACTGAAATAGCACCAAGAATAGTTCCCTAAATGGCAGCTGTAGCCATGCAAACTTTTGCATGTCCCAGGCTTCTCCACTGGGGATCTTTAGGCTTTGTGATAAACAACCAGACCACTAGAGAGACTCACATTTTTATGATCAGTTCTCCAAATAAGAAAATCCTAGTTAAAGCAAAATCCAAAAAATAACATATCACGGAGGGTTGTACCATGCCAGAGGGCCTTTCCCAGATCCTGGAGGGACACAGAGTACTTTACCACTGAGTCACAGAAGTGCTGGTGTGTGCCAGGATAGCCAAAGGTCAAGACTGGTCTTAGTCCACAGCCTGGAAGAGTTTGCTGTAGCCATTCACAATGGTCAACCCAAACTGCATGCCTTCACCCCGCCCACCTCTCAACACTGAGACAATGGCAAGAACGGAATGCTCTCCATTAAAGGTGATTTCTTGAAGCTTGGGGACAATTCAGTGCTCAACTGCTCTTGTGCATATGTTTCTTAGTGTTCATGCATATATATTATATTTCTAGTAAGCAGAGGAAGTAATGGGAATTGCAGCCTAATGTTGATATGAACCAAGGGTTTTCTGGCCTCAGAGGTCTGACTAGAGGAGCAATGAAAAGGCTGGTATGGGAGAGAGGTATTTCTGGAAATCTAAATCATTATGTGTTGGCCCGTCTTCATCACTCTGAGTTTACAGGGTTATAACAATTCACATGTAGAACAAAGCTCTCATGATAGCCTTAGGGAATGCCTTTCTGCTACTTCAAGCAAGAAAAATAAACAAGTTCTCTCTTGGAAAAAAAGCAATTCAGGACTAAACCAAGCAATTAAACAAAATACATGAGAGAGACAAACTTTAAATGTTAGAATACTGTCCGCTGAACTGAATTAAAAATCTACATGGAGAAAACCCCTTGTCCCCATCTTCCTTAGTCGCTGTCTTGTTGCTGTAAAGAGACACCATGACCAAGGCAACTCTTATAAAAAGAAAGCATTTAGTTGGAGCTTTAGCTAAAGGATCTATCTCATCCCCAAAGAGTGCCACCAATCGGAGACTAAGTGTTCAAAGACATGAACTTATGGGTGATTATTTCTCATTCTAACTACCACGGTGACAAGGAAAAAGAAAACACTGAGAATCTTAACAAGGGAAGTGGAGCAAACCTCCCTGTGAAAACAGCATGACTAAACTGATGGGAGAATCCAGAGATGTGGACGGCAGAGCACACCATGTCTGGTCCGCCGCTGCCCTCCCGGTGTTCATGGAAGGTAGATAGATTTACCTCCTGTTAATTATTGGCAGTTCTAAGAACCAAAACAGAATCTACAGTATTCAGCTTGAGTCCACCTCAGCCAAAATGCTTGGAAGCAGATGCATTTCAGAGATCAGATTTGTTTTGTTTTGTCATATTTTCACATGAGGTATCTTTGGCAAAGATCTAAGTCTAAACCCAAAAGTCATTTGCCCATCACATGTATGCCTTCTACAGAGCTTGAGGCTAATTTTATACATCTGTTCATTGATTTTGTATGTGAAACAAGCTTTTTATGTGCCATCGTGTTACTTATGGAATGAGATCAGTGTTCAAAAAAATCAGATGGTAGAGCCATTCAGACTTTGAATTTTTCCATTTTTATGCCCACTTTGCATTGAGATGCTCCTCTTATTTAACAGTAGCTTGTGAGGTGATGTGTATCATATATAAACACAGTTTTTAGAAATAACAGAAGCACAGTAGATGTCCTCAAGGCCCCGGGAATGCTAGCCAAAAAGAACTTTTAAGGGGACACTTGAATAAGAGTAAAAAGGCATGTAATACCCACACTTTCTAAACCATGTCACTCTTGGGTCACAACTCTTCTCTGTCCCTGGTGTCACCACCCCATGAGAAACTGTTCACCCCCTTCTGGAACATAAACTCCGTACAGCCCTTCTCTCTGACACTCCGTCCTTTGGGTCAGATGTGAGAAACCCCCTGCACAGGAAGAAGCATGTGGACACTAATTTGTCCTTGTCACTGCACTCGACAGTTGGCACACACAGTGCAGTAGTCCCCATGACCCAATAAGCAGGATGTGATTTCTCTAAGAAGCAAACTCAGATATCCGTAAATGTGAAGTCTCACTTCCATTAAGATGTGGAATCCAAATGAAACACGTTCATTTGGGAGTCCAGCAAGGCCGCGGCAACATAAACTATTACGTGTCAGAAAATCAAGTCTCGCCAGCCCAAGCAGGGCATAAAATAGATAGAGGCCCAAGTACAAACACCACATTCAGGGTGGACAGAGCCCGCATCTGGAGTTCAATACAGATAAATGTGGGAGGAAAGCAAGTGTGGTAAGATGTCCCTGACCACCGCTTCAAGGCTTTGCCTGCATCTCTGTAGACTGGTATGGAGTTGGCATTGATACACATAGGGTGAGTCCAGCTGATTGAAAGCCTACTGTTAAAAGCTCAAGTGCATTTCAAAGGTCAGTGTGTGAAACACTTGGCCCTCCAGACTGATGCTATCAGAAGGTAGTGAAATCTTGAAAAGGTACAGCCTAGTAGGAGGCTTTTAGGTTATTCGAAGGATGTCCCGAAGTCAATTACAAAGCCAAATTCTTCCTCATTCCCTCCTTGAACTCACAGTTTTGAGGTAAACAGCCTTGTTCAACCATGAACACCTGAAATGAGATGATGCTTTGCCCAATAGCCAAAAGCCACCAGCCAGTGACCCCCCGATGTACTCTCCAAAATTGTGAGCCAAAATTGTCGAATTTTCCGACAGTCTCAGCTATTAGCTACAGTCATAGAAAGCTAACTAACACGGAGCCAGATACATGGCTTTGTGGGCCAGGGTTCCAACCAAAGTGGGCACTGTCTGCAGTCGGTGCTAGCCAGTAAAGAGCTCTAAACTGATGCCAGCCTGCGGAGCCAGGCCAAGCAATGGAAATGCACACTCCTGGAGCCAGAACCTGTTCCTAGCCTGGTTTATCACTAAATGACAGTGTGGCTTTCCTTACTCTGTTGTCTTTGGTCTAATTGCTTCAGAGAACAAAGCTGGCAGGGTGGGGGAGAGTGGCTGGGATGACAGCCCAGGAATTAAGAACGTACTGTTCTCATAGAAGGAGGACTAGAGTTTGGTTCCCAGCACCTATATTGGGAAGTTCACAATCACTTGTAACTCCTGCTCCAGGAAATCTAATACCTTCTTCTGGTCCCTGTGGACATCCACACACACACACACAGAGACAGAGAGACAGAGACAGAGACACAGAGAGAGACTCAGAGAGAGAGAGACACTCATACAAGCATACACATGAAAATATATTTTTTAATTGGGCTAACATCAAGGCTGTAGTGTTATATAATCTGATGACTTAGAGACACAAAGTTCCTGGGAGTGTGCCCTGGACAACTAGTAGTCTGCTCTTCATTTTTAGGCATAGCCTTTTCTTTCTGGTGGACACCGGTCACACACCGAAAGAGGATATGCCTTAATGCTCACAGGGTCACCAAGAGGCTAAATCCTCTCAAGTTTCCTGAATGTCAGGTGTGGGTACAGCAGACTATTTTTGGATCCCACTCACCCAACGCCGTGGCAGCTTTGCTCCCACAGGTTCAAGGACTTGGCAGGAAGGAGCCCACAGGTGGCAAATCTTTAAAAGGAAGGCCAAAGAGTGGCAGGTTCTCCTAGGGATAGACTGATCATATC